CAAACAAGGGAGCAGGTAGTAAAGTAAAATTTTCAAGGGCGACAAATGTACTTACCTAATAAAGACATGCAATGTTAAAAAAAACTATCTGCCAATAATTTTGTAATTTTGTAATGAAATGCCTACTTTTACACATTAACGGCTATAGCGCAGTAAGTGATGACATTAAGTACATGGTATGCTAATGTTTTGGAATCCTTATGATGTAGGCAAACTTTTTAAATGGTTGGCCACACAGATCCCATAGGTATTTTTTTTCACCACAGGTGCTCAAAATTAGCAGTTAAATAAAGTAAAAAATTTAAACTTATGTTTAGTGCCGTCTTGTAAAATACTACCCATAGTAGTTGAAAACTTTTAAGGGTAATTTAGAAACATCATTATTAGGGAACAAATTAAAATAAAAAAGAAATACGATCTAGGCTTTAAACTGCGGACGTGATGACCACAAATGTGAGCAGAAGTACGAATTTTCGGAATTTTATAAAACATGGTGTAGACCGCGAACCGTTCGGGATAATTTTTTTTTAGGAAACCGAGGCCACCTCCCCCCCACCCCAACACGTACCGGATTATCCACCAATACTGGGACAGCCTGTATAATGTATAGTGAATGAGGCCTCCTTCAATACCTAGAATCCGAAATTTCATAAAAAATCTATTATAGGTTTTGAGTTATGACACTTACACCTACTCACTGACTCACTCATCAAAAACAGACAACTTAGAAACTTGAAATTTGGCATCGGTAAATGTAGATCGAGTGTCGACAAAGTTTTTGATGCGGTAAGTTTAAAGTACAGTATTTCAAAATGTGTCTGCACTGATTACAACAATTAATTCATATACGTAGTTTTAATTTTCAAAAAGGACACAGTACACTACTAAAGCAAGTAAAAATGTTGGTCATATCATCTTACGATGATTAATAAAAGGATAAAACTTTTGATAAATTCATGATATTCCACCAAAGGCATAAATGAGATACGTCAAGTACGATTAGAACTTGTCGGTTTCACTGATGAAAGAATTGAGATCGAAACGGGTGCCAAGCTCCAGAGCAACTCCTTAAATTACAGCTATACAAATGTACAATATTCTTCAATTGACTAATAAGTAATTTAATACATTCTTTGATATTTAATTTATAGCTTTAGAAGTCTCAACAGTCAATTAATTTACGTTTAATGTGATGATATTTGCAAGCTCAAAATTTAAACTTTTAGTTCTTCTATTTTATATCACAATTGAGTTGGTTATAAAAAATGTTAAAAATTTGATATCAATCAATTGCAAGAATATAATAATAAATTACAATTTATTTGCAAGATTTTCGAATAACCTTACTGTACTGAAACTAAAATGATACAGGAAGCCGATGGATATAAGTGGCTCAGGACCGCGTTAGGTCTATGTTCAGTGATGGACTTACGCAGGGCTGTGATGATGATGACGAGAATGATTTATTGAGATACTCGTATATATACAAGAAAATACATAAATATTAAATAGGTGTTTATAAAAGTTTCGCAAAGCTGTCGATCTCGAACAATAATACATTGTACATGTTCATAAATAGTACACTTGCAGCAGATGGCACTGTCAGATTTTTTTATAATTTATCTATCACAATGTTACTGAGGTTTCTTTTTATCCAAAAAATAACCTAAATTTATTGTCACGGTACTAGAAAATACTACACAAGTAAATAAGGATGCGTAAGACGCCCCCGTTCCATCTCCCACCATTAATACACTACTTCTTTCTCACTCGTATTCTCTCGCTTACTTCACCGACTAACGAAACGAATGAAAATTCAGTAATTACGTATAATGAATGAGTTATTAATTACTATCCTTTTTTTGAGATATTTTTTATCAATTAGTTATTTTAAGTTACACACTACACTAAGAGCACTTATTATTTTTTGGTAATTACAAAACATATGTGTGAGTATATATATATATATACTCGTAAGTGTCAAGAAATCTTTAAGTTGCATTGTTGCTCCGTAGTAGTAGCATAATTTATGAACTATTGACACCCGTGCAGATCTAAACCTTTCATGGGAGAAGCCGACATCACCGAACTGTGACTAAACGGTGCTGAACATAACACCTTTTAAAGAAGTAATTTTAACTCAATCAACAAATCACAATCTTAGTTTTTATTTTTAGTATTTTACCATGTTTTTGTGTATTTATTGAACAAGAAACATGAAGTACATATAATTAAAACTAGCCTTTTATTACAACTTAATTCACCATAAATGAGATTAGAATTAAGTAAGCACCCGTAGATGTAGGTATAACAATTTTTCTGTAGATTAGAATGCTTTCCATTTTGCATTTTTCTATTTACAAAAATAACAGCTTTTAGTAAAATATTGTGCATTTTATATTTAAGCGTTTTAAAGGCTTTATACAGTAAAAACTGTTTATATTGTAGTTAGAAAACCGTGTAGAGACCTAAGATGTTTTTAAAGGTATAGATACGTCATACTCGCTCTAAAATGGCAATACGAAAGTAAGGTGATTGCCCGACTCGCATTCAGTCGGGCACACACTCGCGTCGCGGCTATACCTTCGCTACAGCACGTAAATCTTCTAGTTATTCGTGGCAAAAATGCCTCCCTGTTTTTTTAAGTGGTGCACAAATTACACGGCAACTATTAGAGACAAGAAAAACGTCTCACAAATATTTTGAATATAGATATTTTGTTCATAATTGGTTTTATTATTTCAACACTAACCGCTAGAGTAAACTTGGACGCTAGCTAGTGTGTTCATTTTCCATATCGGTAGTCACGCGCTCGCGCCAATGAGCGCTCGGCAGCAATCAATACGCAACTAATGATGTATATTCATCTTTTTCTAACGATAGGTATGCCCTATCATTTGTCTCTTTTTGTTAGCGCAACGTGTCATAATAAATAACTGTACATAGATATAGTACTACCCGCGCCACTTTAAAATACAATAATGTTAGTGTGTAACTTGTCTATCTTTTTAATACGTCTTTGGTAGAGACGGTGTAAAATATTCACTATCCCATATCGTCCCGTGTTGTAAGAGGCGACAGTGAGAAACTGAAACAAGAGATGGGCAGCAGCATCTTCCTGCTAACAACACAAAATATTAAAAACACTGCAGTTGCCAACCCGTCTCCAAGCGCGGCATCAATGACAAAATATTACTCATGAGACTGTCTACGGAGTGAAAGGAACATTATGTATTGAAAATTGTCTGTTATCAAAACTAATGAACCTGTTTGTCTGTTATCGAAACTAATGAACTAATGACATATTTCCCTTAGAAGCCGTTATATAAGTCTGTATTGGAGATAACTATTATTGACCTTCAATAAGATAACATATAAAATCACTTGCACCGTGTAGCTCAAAAGTTAAGTTCTCGCTGTAAATTTCACAATACCTGAGTTCGGGCCATACCGGCACCAACAAAATTATTAATTGCAATTTTAAGTGCCTGATTTATCACGTGCTCGGCGGTGAGGGAAAGGAACGAACGGGAACAATGAAGGAACATGTAAAGTGCACTAAAACGCACTGGTACAGCGTGATGGCACAGTCTAAGATAGACTGTGGCGGTGTGGTGGGCAAACTGCACCATAGCCCTCTCAGAAGTAAGAGGAAATCTGTGCCCAGCGGTGGGACGAACATAGGTTACATTAATACTACTTTAAAGTTGTTTGTAGGTGTGTTCATATAATAATGTATAAGTACATATTTTAAACGTACATTTTTGATAATAGTCCACCTCCATAACTTTGTAAAATGGGAAACCTTTTTAAAAGAGCAAAATAGCTAATCCCTTGAGATTCCACTTAACGAGGTCTCACTGTTATTATTAGTGAATTAATCATAACTTGTTGCTTAAGAAGCATGTAGCAGAAATACAAAATAATTAGTTTTATTATATTATTTTCTACACCTCGCCTAAAATGCGAAGGCGCTAATTGGTAACTTGAGAAAATTAAAAAAATTATTAAGTTTTATATATATATATATATAAAGTAAGCTGTTTTCGATAAACTTCCTACTATCTGCTTGAATGGTTTTCTTTTCTCTGCGTATAACTTTGTACTTGACGGGTTTCTCTTAGTATGTGTCCTGTGCGTATAAATGCATGTGTATGAGTAGTGTTCATATAGTACGAAATGTTCGGGCGGTATTTTCGCTTCCTGTGTTGCTTATCCGTGTTTTTATAGATCACATAAAAAGCACGCTGCTTCAATATTGCGCTCAGCGAAATTCAATATTCAAATTCATTTAAATCAATCAATTTAAATAGCGTACTATTTTATACAGGGACACTTTATAACTGTGATATCTTTTCGCTAGCGAATATTGTCGCGCCGTACTTGCAATGCGAAATGCCCTTTTCTTGCATATATTATAAATATATCTGTCGTTTTTTTTTATAGAATAAGGGTGAAAAACGAGCATACAGTCCACCTGATGGTAAGTGGTTGCTGCGGCCCATAGATATCTACATCTATCCTCGTTTGCGAATCAAAATGCAGATGCGTTGTCACCCGTGAGGACTAAGATGGAATGCCTCATTCCCAGTAAAAAGGGCCTCCGGCCACCTGCACTCACCAAGCGAAACGCAGAGGTAAACCTCTACTTCACGCTGGTATTCTGTGAGGTCGTGGTACCACCCCGGTTCGAGCCGGCCCATCCGTGCGACAGCAAAAGCTGCCACGTGGCTCTACCACTGTTAAAAATAAAAATATTTTAAATTGTTTCATTATGTTCAGTATTTAAAAAATGTAAATATTTGTTCTAAAACAGTAACAATATGATATATCGTATAAAATGAAAGTATACTTACGTACTGCTAACGGTAAATGATCATTGAGCCAACTATAAGATGTAAAATAATTAAATATCATAGAAATTATAAAGTGTAACTTATCTAGCATTTACCCATAATAATATATATCTTCATATCATTAATACTTTTATTTGTCCACAGATCGCCAGTTCTATCACAAATGGGCGCAGCTGACTGATCCAGATGACGTAACAACGAGTGTAAAAGGCTACCTGAAATGCGACATAAGTGTCATTGGGAAAGGCGACACGGTCAAAATACCTCCCATGGGCGAGAAAGATGAGGACGACATTGAGGCGTAAGTGTAAATTTATTCTAAATATATTTTTTTCACACTTGATTCCTTTCATTATCAGAATGCTTATATGGGTTATATACATTAGTAAGTTACCAATATTTTTATTCACAAAACATAAACAAGCAACACGGGCGGCCGACGTGTCGGACGGAAGTAGCCATACGCATACGTAGTACTATTAATTCTGTGCCCCTGTACTGAAATATAAGTCCATATATGAACACAGCAGCCCTATGTTTACAATAAAACTAGTTGCAACCGCACTGCTCACTAGACAAAATTTAGTTGCGCGACTGTATGGACGTCCTACAAAAATGTCAATTGTTCAGTTTTATGCAGCAAAAAGAGATCTGCCACGTCAAATTTACAAAATGATGGCCTTAAATTAATGATAAGTCATCGCGCGCCGCGATGACTTATCATTAATCTATGATGATGGCGTTACCTTTCATCATCATCATCATCATCATCATCATTACAGCCTTTCATAAGTCCACTGCTGAACATAGGCCTCCCCCAAGGAATGCCACAAAGCACGGTCCTGAGCCACCTGTACTTCCCTACCGGTACGAGGCTGCCACTCGAGAACCTTTCTTCCCCATCGGTTGTCGGTTCTTCGAGCTATATGACCGGCCCACTGCCACTTCAGCTTACTAATCCGTTGGGCTATGTCGGTTACTCTGGTTCTACTGCGGATATACTCATTTCTAAGTTTATCACGCAGAGAAACTCCGAGCATAGCCCTCTCCATAGCTCGCTGAGCGACCTTGAGCTTCCTCATACGGCCAGCAGTGAGTGACCACGTCTCAGTTCCGTAAGTCATCACTGGCAACACGCACTGGTTGTACAATTTCGTTTTAAGGTTTTGATATATGTCTAACGAGAAGATGTATCGTAGCTTCCCGAACACTGCCCAGCCGAGTTGAATCCGTCGATTGACCTCTCGGTCGAAGTTGGACTTACCTAGTCGGACTATTTGTCCCAGGTAAATATACTCGTCAACAACTTCGAGCTTAGTGCTCCCGACAACTACCGGCATAGGTGTGACATGGACATTAAACATAATCTTTGTTTTATCCATGTTCATCTTAAGACCTATCCGTTGGGAGACACTATTGAGGTCATTGAGCATAGTGCTTAGGTCCTCCAGCGATTCTGCCATAAGGACTATATCGTCGGCAAATCGAAGGTGAGTGATGTACTCGCCATTGATGTTAATACCGTATCCTTTCCAGTCCAGAAGTTTGAAAACGTCTTCCAATGCAGCGGTGAAGAGTTTCGGGGATATAACATCACCCTGTCTTACACCTCTCTGCAATTGGATAGGTTTCGTAGTCTGGTTGTGTACTCGGATAGCCATCGTAGCTCTACTGTACAAACACTTCAGCACTTCGATATACCGACAGTCAACTTGGCACCGCTGAAGGGACAGCAGCACCGCCCAAATTTCAACGGAATCAAAGGCTTTCTCATAGTCCACATACGCCAGACATAGTGGCAAATTGTACTCTTCGGACTTCTGTACAATTTGCCGAAGGGTATGTATGTGATCTATGGTGTACCTTTCACATGTAAGTAATTCTTTATAATATTAGCACTACCTATGTATTTCTTTTTAATATTAAAAATTACAATAAAAACACTTCATGGTGGCCATAGTAACGGACGTGCTGTTTCGGATTTGCTTACCACCACTTGTATACATAGAGGTCAGTGACCACAGGCCACTCGCCCTCATACAATATGCGGTTCAGTCGAGCAACTGATCTGTATCTGTATCCGAGTTGTTGCTGTCAGCGAGCGATAGTTTTGATTGAAAGAAGAAAAGATGCAAAGTAATACGACACTCGCGCACAGCAATAAAGTTTTATTTAGCTTGCGTGCGCGATTTATCTGATAAATAATAACTATGTAGGCTACTAAAACGTCGGCAAGCAGTTTACATCAAAAGAGGGAAACTTCTGTATGTAGTACTATTATTTATTCTGTGCTATAGGTCAGGAAATGCGGAGAATCAATTTATATTAAAGCAGCAGAAAATGGAACAAAAATGTGTTATACGAAGAGAGTTTTAAAAGAATAATATATAGATTACTGTTTAACCCGGGCAAAGCCGGGGCGGGCTGCGATTATAAAATAAATACGATTAATAAATTGTAATTGTACTACATACTAGATATGATTAAAATAAAATAAAAAATATTTTTTGTAAATTACGTACATACCTACTCTACATTTTTCTTCCATTTCTTCTTCCTCTTTAAGTTTGCAAATGAATCTCAAATTTTTTTTTATAGGATAATGGTGACAAACGAGCACACGTCCACCTGATGGTAAGTGGTTGCTGTGGCCCATAGACATCTACATCTATCTTCGATTAAGAATCAAAATGCAGATGCATTGTCACCCGTGAGGACTAAGATGGAATGCCTCGTTTCCAGAAACAAGGGCCTCCGATTCTTTACACTCACCATACGAAACACAGCAGCGTTAAGCTGCTATTTTACGCTGGTATTCTGTGAGAGCGTTGTCCTTCCCCGGTCGAGCAGACCCATTCGTGCTACAACTATACTATTAATATAGCTGCAGCATGGCTCTACCACGTAAGAAAAATTTTAAAAAAGGTCCGAACATTCCAGGCTAAGAAACCTCAAAAAGATACCAGTAGCTGTGGCACGACGTGCTTTAGTCTTCAAACACCCGTCCTATACCCTTCTTAAATAAATAAGTGTACAACAGCAGACTTACAACCTGAAATACTAGATTAAGTGAAATTAAAAAAACTCACGACTGTTTTGTACTCGTATAAAAAGAATTCTTAATAACATTCGACATTAATACAATGTTTATGGTTCGTGAATTTAGGACAAAGACATAAACAAAGAAGAAAGAAGAGTTCATATTTCTTTTCAGAACATTTATTTTGCAACCTAAAAATACTAGTTTTTAAATGTCGAGAAAAAGTTGTTATTTTTTTCCTCATTTATTGTTTATTCGGAATGTTAGTTTTTGCTTCAGAATATAAGTAACAAACATTTTAAAAATGTTTAATTTTGTTATTTGATTTGTAGGTTTTTATTTTAGAGTCGAAAGTTTGAAGCATTAAAACCTAAATGTGCTTCAAACTTTCGACTCTAAAATAAAATAATTGTAATCTATTGATATATTCTATGGAATTTACGCTGTATTATGATTGCTGTAATATTTTAGAAGTATTACATTGCACAAGCTCAGAGAACAGGCTTTGAGTCTGGGAGGCTTTTAGGTTATCTATGCATGTCTTAAATAGTGCTATTTGCTCATTAGCCTCATTCAACTGTTACTTCAATGCAGCAATAAACCTGAGAGCTTCCTTGCTGCATTGGTCAAACTCATTAATTGTTCCCTGTAGCTGACCTCTTTCTTTTATAACACTTGTATAATATGTATGTAACTTAATTTCAATTGTGTATTTTTGGCAATTATGCCAACTATTACCCTCACACTGCACATTTAATTATTTATTGTAAATAATAAAAGAAACAGAAGAAGCAGAGTAAGCTAATGTCGAGTTGTTTTTTTTTTTTTTACTTTTTACTATTTACAGATCTCAAATAAAATTATCTTCAAAATATTTCGAAAAGAACCCCATCAATAATATAATAAACCGAGTAATAAAATATGTAGGTCTTTAATTATAATAATAAAAGAAATGAAAAGAAATAGGAATTAAATTTTAAACAATGTTCGTTACCTGTCACTTTAAGTTCCAACACAAAATTATTGTTATAATATTTATGTAAGAACCGAATTTCTTTATATTCAATACAAGGCAGCAGTAATCATTAACTATAACATAAAATTGAGGTGGATATTATGATTTTACAATATTTGAATTATTAAAATTTTTATTTATGTAAGAACCGAATTTCTTTATATTCAATACAAGGCAGCAGTAATCATTAACTATAACATAAAATTGAGGTGGATATTATGAGTTTACAATATTTGAATTATTAAAATTTTTCGGGACTAATTACTTTTACATCTTAAATAATATGGAATAAAAATTTATTATACTTATTCGTGTTGTAATGTATGTAAACATACTAAAGATTGGTAGAAATGTAAACCGAATTCTTATGTAATAAAGATTCTGGAATATCTAAAGGTTCTTTTCTTAGTCCCAAATTCAAGCATACATTTTCAAGTTCAGCATAGCCTCTCATTTTTCATACTTACGAAGGAAGAAAGTTTCCCAGTTTTTCAACATTCAAAAGTAAACATAATATTGACTTATATATCGTGCGAATGGCTTGCACAAATGTTTAATTTGCTCAAACTAAAGTTTGCGCATGGAAGTAGCTGCGTGTAGCCGCAACTTTGTGTGACGCTAAGTGAGGCAGCACTCATATTAGTAGGGTAAGAAACGGTGATAGAAAACGCTTACCAACGAGTTCGAAGCTTCGACTTGAGCAGCCTTAGAGTATGGCCAAAATATTGTGATATCATTTATCTTTACGACTTTGCAAGCTGTTAAGTCCATTAAAAAGCTAAATTTCAATTTCTATAAAAAATTATGAAAATTTGCGGAAAAAGGAGGAGCTATTTATTAAGTAGTATTTTATATAAAGATCACCCGTCTCTAAAAAGTATAAAACAAACTAGAAAAAATTAAAAAGTTAAGGTTTTCGAATGAGGTCTTCCACAATATGGTGGATTAACAAATTGTAAGAGGGCTGATTTTTAAACAGATACTTGCAGTTACAGAAGACGAACAGTCATGAAATAAGGTTGAGCTGCATATCACGCCAGGTTTGCTTTATGTGTGTTTTGAATTGCATTAAATTTTATAGACGCGTGCTGCAGCTATATTACTGATATAGTTGTAGTACGAATGGGTCGGCTCGACCAGAGAAGGGTACCATGCTCTCTCAGAATACCAGCGTAAAATAGCAGCTCAATGTCCTCACGGGTGACAATTCATCTGCAGTTTGATCCGTCATCGAGGATAGATGTAG